GGGTCCAATGATGGATCGAATTGGGGGGGAGAGTTGTGAACCAAGTAAAAGCGTTCTTTGTTAAAGAACTTGGGAAGTACTTGATCCTCAGGTTTTCGTTATTCGAAATGTCACCTGCTTCGATCAAGTATCTCGCCACATGCTCGACAGTAGATTCTGTCGTGTCCCCAGAGAACTTAGTAAATTTGGGGACTTTGCATCTAGGAGGTAAGTCTGTTTGTAACACGTATTCTGATAATGGGGATGTAAAGTTGGGCCTTCGAAAGCCCATGTTCATCCCATTTTGAGTCATGATCCTTTCGATCATGGTTGCCAGATTGTTTTCCAAGCCCGTGTTTTGATACTGGATATGCTGAACTACTTCGTCAGCATTTTGGTTTCTGTTAACTAACCTTACCTCTGGAGTTATTACCCTAGGTTCCTCGACAGGTTGCTCCAACCGTGCCCTAAGGTTTTCTTCGACAGGCTGTTGAACCTGGTTGATGGTGGTTTCTTCCTCTAAGAATATCCCCTGGTTTCCCCTTATTTGAGCCCTTTGGGGATGTCGAATAGGTTGGGGTACTCCAAAGAAATCAGCCAAACGCGTCATTTGCGCTGTCATTTGCTGATTCGATTGAGTAGTGTTTTGTATTAGAGGGTTCATCATTGTACTCAAAGTTTGTGCCAACATTTGCACCATGTCATGGTTGCTTTCGTCCATTTGTTGCCTCAAGACTGCTGTCGAGGCATTTGTAAGGCCATGGGCTACTTGGGACGTTCCTCCTAAGAGTTGGGTCCTATTTCTATTCGCCATACCTACTCCAGAGCCTTGGAGTGGCGAAGAGGCACTCACTAAAGGGTCTGAAAAAGTGGACGCAGCATTCGTTAGGCTAGCCAAGTCAGAAGTTGGCATGCCATAGAGTGGCATAAATCCTGGGGGAACAAAAGGCCTTGTGCCTAAATTTCCCCTTGGTGGGGGAGTTCCCAAAGGCGCTCTGGGGCCTGTGAACGGAGGTAGTGGCCCCGTTGCTGTGACCGTTACTGCTGGTGTCGAACCAACAGTTGTCGCTTCACTTACGGTCGAGGTAACCGTTGCTCCCACATTCGTTTGTGGGATTTCGTTATTGTTTGGCGGATTCGCCATCTCTTCCCTTCTTCTGGCAGTATTGTTATCGTTAGTGTATATTCTACCACTTCTCAATAACATACAACGCTCCTCGAAAAGATGAGATTATTTTCAACAACAACACACAGTCCCACCAGGTGTGCCAATTTGTTTACCTTGGTTATTGGTAAACAACCGCTGATCCTCCAAATGGTTACTTATTTGGTTACTCGCAGGATCGATCAGATTGATCCTAGGACATAGGTTGATTTTGAAGTTTTGATTAAATTGGATATTGGTTAAATGGCAATAAAATAAAGAGGCTTTAAGTAAATTGCATGAAGAAAGGACTTGGTAAAATAAATGAGGCTTTAAATGAAAGGGCTTCGACAGGAAAGTAAAGAAGAAAGCAAGTAAATTTCTGGAAAAGTAAATGACTTTGATTAATAAAGTTGGTGTTTCACACATACATTTCTCAACAATTCTTTCTCACACGCTGGGTACTCGAATCTATATGAGTGACTTTGTATAGAATTGTGAACACACGCGAGAAACTACACGACTACTATTATTTATACTAAAACATCCCAAGTAACCGTCGGGCAGTTACACTGCTTCGAGATGATTCCACTTGGCATGTTCTCAACGTTCGACGCTCCAGATCTTTGCACGTTTGCACTTGGCAACCGCTGGAAACCGTTTTCCCTCCAAACACTTGAATTTCAAACTGTTCCACTCTGAACCATCGAACACCTTCGTCGAGAAGCATCTTCGACGAGAAACACCTTCGACGTCGAAGGCAACCAACTTCTCCCTTGGAAGAAATCTTCTAAGTACTTTGCCATCTTTCGATGGGCATTTCGACGGACCTAACTAGTCGAAAACATCTTTCAGCTTTAATGGCTGAAATTAATGAAACAAGGGTGTCGAATTTAGGAGCCAACAAATATTTGGTCATAAAATACAAAAGATTTGATTCAATATTGTTGACCTAATTACTCTCCTATAAGCATGTTCAGACCATCAAGCACACGAAAATTGGCCTCAAGAACAAGTCCTAAAAAATCTCAAAATTGTCAAAACTAGGGCAAACTAAAAACCTTGTGTGCAACCACTTTCAATCCATTCCAAGCATTCCATCGTGTTCCTAAAGTTCTTGGGAGTTCATATCATCCATCCTTGAAGCCTGAAGCGTGCTAGATCATCACATCTCAACATCACCGGTTAGGTAGTTTTCGTGAATCTCGAACTTTTAATCTATGCATATTTAATTAATTTAATGCATGTATACATGTTCGTGATCATGTTTAGGACTATTTTGATCCATTATTTGCAAGCTTTGACGCAGGGATCGTGAGATGCCATTGTTAGGGAAGCTTGGAACTTTTTCTTCATATCTCATATTACAACCGTTTTTAGGCCAAACTAACACCTCCATTGGATTCGCAAGGGTCAAATTAGAGGGATAGGATCCCTTTTATGATCTAAACCTTGCTATTGTTGCAGGTTGTAAAATCTTCTCACCAGAGAAGACGATTGGAGCTAGGGCTCCGGCGCTTCCCTGATTCACTTGATTTTATTATATATTTATTTGTTTCTATTCTATAACAAAAATGCAACGCAGTTGGTTGGAGACGGAGGCATGTAACGTGAGGGGCGTGGGTTCGATCCCTACGTCTTATAAAAATTTTGTTGTTGGAAGCGCAGTGGTTGGAAGACAATCTGTAAAATTAAGGGCATTGGCTCAACACCCACCCCATGTAATTTTTTTGTCCTTATTTTACTAACCCTATTTTTCATCATATTTTACTAATTATTTTTTTTAATTAATAATTAACTAATCTAATCTTTTTTTTAATACTAACAAATTAGGATTAAGATTTTAATTAGTAATTAAATTTTTCTTTTATTTTTTTATTTACTAATTAATTAATTAACTAAACTTTTTCTTCTTAATATTAAAATTAATTAGAATTAAATTTTTAATTACTATTATCATTTAAACTATTTTCTAAAAAAAATCACAAAAACATTTTTCATTTTAACATTCTTTTTTTATTTTCTTTCTTTGCTATTTAATTTTATTAGACAAAGTGTATAGGTCACATTGTCCGATGTAATAGCGTAGATTTATATTTTCTCGCATTTTTTCTTCTATTATGTATCTGCTGCGAGGATGTAATAACGTATATTTACTTTCCCGTGAATTTTTGTACTTATGTATCTCTCCCAAAGTCATGTAATAGCTTAAGACTTTACATTCTGCACTTTATTTTTCTATACATATTTAATTGTTAGTAACTAAGATTTGTATGACAAGATTAAAAACAAACATAAAAAACCCTAATTCTCAAGATAAATAACTGAAATCAATACACTCTTCACACTTGCACCTCTAGGATATCCTCTCTTGTTGCCTTATAATACTTGGTCACATCCCTCGAAAGTGCGGATACTTTAGCAAAAGACCCTCGATCAAATCATCATTCTCCCTTTCGAATAAAGATCATAATCCCTCGATGACCCTTCGAGTTGCCTATAAAATGATCTAGTCCCTACGAGCAAAATGATGATAGTCCTTTTGATACAATTGTTAAAGTATCATTACATGTTGCCTTTGATAACCATACGATGACCTTACGCCTATTCCTTCACATCCAATAGATGGGGCTACCTACCAACTAATGGTATGGATAGTACTGCCTGTAAAGGAGAAGGAAAAGAATAAGAAAGACCATCGTTAGTGGGTAAGAACTCCCAATTGCTTGCTCACAACTCTTATCACAAACAATATATTTTCACTACACTTTCAAAACAAATATTTTCAAAAATACTTTGTATATATTCTTGAGGACTGATACAAGAATTATTATAAAGTTAGTCTTACGTTAGTTTTTCAAAATATTTCAAAATAAATCACACACAAAGCAAGTTTTTAAAGTGAACTAAGCAATTAAGAGCTCGTAGATAACTACAGATGAAAAAGGTGTTAACACATTCCCTTTTCATACCTTACACCTTACCCCGAACTCAAAATCTATCAAAGGTGTTTTCTGTTCTTTTCACCTTTCTTAAATATTGGATAAAAAAATCGATGACGACTCTTGCTATCCGCACATTTGAATAAAATAAAATTTAAAAAAAACAATTCTCTCACCGTATTACGCTTGATAACCGCCTTATCTCAAAACCGAAAAACAAAACCAAAAAACCAATCAAAAACGGGTAAAACCAAGAAAATCGTCAGCTTAGGCAGTTTCACGTACTAGACAGCATTTTAATTTTCCATAATATTTTATAGGTAGAAGAGCGTTGTTGATCTAATATTTTGTAAATAATTTTCCGTTTATGAGCGTTAGAAAAGTAGGAGAAAAAGAGAAATTGGTTGAGTAATTTATTAAGAAAGAAAGTGCATAACAAGAAGAAACTAACATAGATTTATAAACCATATAAGACCAATGATAATCAAACCACGTGTTTTCTTTAAAATGTATAGATGAAAAGTTGGGGAAAAAAATGCAAGAATGCATACTAACGGCTGCTAAAAAGTTTGTTATTTGTTAACTTTAAAGTTTAACCAAGCAACCACGTAACAAGCTCACGAATCATATTATACTGGTGTTATGAATAAAACATCATATAAGAATTTAATAACATCAAATATGTCAACTGTACAAGGAAAGTGCTTGGGTCAATCAATAACTTCTTACCTAACTGTATAAGGGTACTATTGTCCACAAACAATGAATCACAAAAGCATTCTCCACACCAGTTCACCAAACCTACAAGAGTGCCACAGCCACCGATTTAAAACTCGAGACTACTACACAACCATTCGTCTCTGACAGATATCTCGGCTAGTTGCAAGCAGCAAACTTCATTTTCACTTGTGTCTAATGCAGAGTAATTCTGCATCCTAAACTGTTGCTGCAGATGTTCTTCTTTCATGCTTCTCATCTTCAACATCCTGAAAGTTCCCGTAACATGATAAATACAAATTATCTTACCCAAAAAAAAAGACTAACATTACACGCTGTCTTGATAATCCTGTTAAATTTTCTGCCTCTCATCTGGTTAATAGACTTACTCCCTAGTTGTCTCTTTTTATTCCCTCTTCATATTATGTCATCTCAATTATTGAGAAAAAATCAATTCTCCCATTAGTAAGACATATAGCGTATAGATCTAATAAACTTAAACCATCATCATCTTACAAACCGATTTTGTCAGGTTGATTTATGATCCAAGATCTTTAGATAGTACTAGCATCTATCTATAGTAGGTTTAGTATTCATCCATAGTATCCAAACACCAAGTCCAAAAGCTTCAGCCACTACAGGATATACCGCAATTATAAAAGCTTAGGCAACCTTGCCTTATAAGCTGATTCGGTTGTGCTGAGTTAGACCCAAATCTAAAGACCAACTACGATTCTATTTACTAATAACAAAATCAGTTTTCATAGGAAACATCCTATTTGCCTGCTCTCTAACAATATTAAGACAACTAAAGTAGCTCTCTAACAATTAAAAAGCACTTACAGAATTGCCAATCTTGTCAAAATCGTCATCAAAGCTGCCCTCACCATCATCTGAAAGATAATCATTAAAAATAGAATAACAATGCAAGATCATGGTGTTTGAAGATCATGGCATGACAGACAAATCTTAGTTATAACCATCAAAAGCAATGTCTGCTCAAAGATTTCAAAATCAAGTTAATTCTCTGAAATCTTAAGGATGGTAAGCATTCACGCTTGTGCACATACAAATCCCTACATTATGTGTATGTTAAACTGCAAATATATATCTTAACAAACTTTTGAATAAAATACCTGGAGCTCCATCACTGTCTTCAAGATCTCCAAGAAGAAATGTATCCAAGTCTTGCTCAATAGAGGATGCATTAGAAGATTTACTCTTTAGAAGCTTCCCTGTTACTTCGGCCTTTCCACTTCCTTCACCAACATCAGTTTGCTCTACCTTAGGATCTTCACTCCGCTTTGCTGCTTCTCTCAGCGCTTCCATATATTGCTTCTCATAACTGCTTGTAAAGTCATAATTATTAAATGAGCTACCTTAAAAATGATACAACACTACCCTCATAGTATATAGATAGTTCAAATTATTTACATCACAAAGACCAACTTCATGAAAATGTTTCATCTGAGATTAAAGCCTTTTAATAAAACAATCAGTTTATCTTGCTCACACTTTTACCTTTAAGATTAAAATTTTTGTAATTAGATTAGATTCTTGCATACTAACACTGTTAAAATATCTGCTAAATTGTCTGAGGTGGCTATTCAATTTTTCATGCTGCAATAGGTATTAAAACAGAGACAAACAGTGAAAATTTGTATCCAGTCAGGGTAACAGAACCTGCGTCATTACCATCAAACCAAAACTAGGAATTTTCCCATGGCCTTTAAGTCCCAACTCTCCATAAACGTTTAAAAAAAGGAGAAAACAGAACTTTAATCTTTACCAACATTCTTCATCCCTTCACCACCATGAACATCTCAGCCTCCAGCCTCCATTCCTTCAAACAGCGGGCCACCCACCATCAACACTGTACTCGTCACATCTACCCTTAGGGACAACACATGCACAGCTACACCAATCGCGGCGAATTTGGTCAGCAACCCTCATAAACTGTATCTTCATCGGACCCGTCATGGAACACTGCAAAGTCATCACCATATAAGACTTTTGCTCCACGAGACAACTTTCACCACCAAACTGTGGCAACCGGACTAACAAAGAGTGAGGGCCCCACCCTCACAGTTCCCCCAAATCAGACAGTCTCGACAACCAAGAGCTCAGCAACCTAATATGAGATGCCGGAGACAGGTTTAGAAATTGAATATTGTTATCATGCATGAGACTTTTGCTCCGTGAGACAAATTTCACCACAACTGTGGCAACTAGACTAACAAAGAGTGAGGGCTCCCAGCCTCATTGTTCCACCAAATCTCAAACTCTCAACAACCAAGAGCTCAGCAACCTAGTATGGGCCACCGGAGAAAGGTTTAGAAATTGAATATTGTAATCATACACCTCCGCGGGAGGCAGTGCTGGCAGAGAAGGTCTGTGTGAGTGGGAGCAGATGCACATTCCCTTTTTGAATATACTATTTTTTACGAAAACATATTCTCAAGAATGTGATTTTGGAATTTTTTTACTTCCAATGTGTTTCAAGTTTTAATAAATTATTCCTAGGTACTGTTTATTTCTAGGAATGATTTGCGCATACTTTTCCCATTTTTCATTTTCATGGCAAAAGGTGGGAATCTTAAATTCCCATGGGAATAAAAAATAAAAGATAACCAACCATAGCTTCCCACTCCCACATCATTTTAACACATTTATTTTCTACTTTCAATTTAAATAATTAAATAATTAAATAATGTATTCCCGAGAAATTAAAGTTAACCAAAAATATTGATAATAACCATTCCTATTAATACTTTTCCAAAGAATAATATTCCCAAGATTGTGATTTTAATCCTTGAAACAAACACATTATTAAATCTTAAGAGGCCCATGGCTAACTCGGTTGCCTCATGTTCTTTCACTTATTTTGTTATTTGTATTGTTCATTTAAAAATTAGAGGCCCGTGATTAAAAAAGAACAAGCCCATTAGGTGAGATAACAGTAAAATTGTTATGTAACAGCGGCAACTAAGGCTACACAAGCGTCATGCCACCTCTTGCTTCTTCCTTTACTACTCTAGTTCTTCACTCCTAAAACAGTGAGAAAGTCTGAATTTCACTTCTTCCTCTACTGTTCACATGCATCTTTTCATCCTCACCTTCCGTTTTTATGGTGCTTCTATTTCATTTATTCCTGGCACGTGTCGTTTTCTTCACAAACCCTTGCGTTGGAATAGCGGCGCCAAGGTAACTGAGACGCGGAATCTGTCCGCGAACCAGCTCCAATGGCCTCTACTCCAGTCCATTCTGAGATGTGACACCACACGTGAGGGCGGTCACCCACTACTACAGGCCTCTATTGACAATACAGTCTGTTTGCATAATAATTTATTCCATAAAAGATAAAGAAACCAGCAGAATGGAGTTTAAGCAAAAAATAATTTCATAAAGTAGATTTCTTAACCAACATTAAAAAATTTAACATATCATATGACCTGTTAAAATGTGTGCTACTTACGGAGCCACATGAGTGTTGACAAGTGTGAAATATATCCTCCAAAAGTGTCTTTCCTTCATAGCACGTGGGCATAGTTCGTATCTCAACCTTGAAATTTCCTGTAAAGGAATAAAAAATAAAGTAGGTAAACAGTTTTACAAATACATCTTGAATTTTCAAATGCATGCATGTCTTTATTATATTTCAATCGACGCATTAATATATATACCAACATCACCAACCAATAAATAAAAGAATGAAAAAAAAAAGGACATGGAAGTATGCACACAAAAGACCAGGCATCATATGTGAAGTGGAATGCATTATAACACGAAAAATGTAAGGATGGACCAGCATGTGGTCCACCGTAGACCAGGGCTCTTCTACTTTTTTTTTTTTGTTTTAAAGTTTTAAATACATATATTATCTCCTCTCCCTGCACCCTGAAACACCACCCCTCCTCTCATCTGCTAATCCTTCATCGCTCCCTTCAACAGGAATTCTATTGCTCCCGAAGCACGTTACTATTTTTCACTTGTTAGAAGGGAAAGAAGAAGAAAGTAAAAGAATGTTGTTATTGTTATTATTGTTATTTTTCACTTGTTAGATGACAGCTACGCTAGAAGATACAATAGAAATATAAGCTCATTTCTTAATACTGAAAGCTAGAATAAGCTATGTATTTCTAATAGTCCCCTTTGAATCAGATGGTGCTTTTAGCAGCTCCCTTTTGTCATACACTCTCAGCTTGTCACGCAGGGGAAGAATTTTAGCTGCAGAAAGAGGCTTTGTTAAAGCATCTGCCCACTGATCCTGGGCAGGAACATTTACAACTGTTAAGCTTATGTTCAGGACCTTTTCTCTTACAAAGAAAATGTCCAGCTCCATGTGCTTTGTTCTATTGTGAAGAATAGAATTATGTGCTAGAGTTACTGCACTGAGATTGTCACACAGGATTTTAGGGGTCTGAAACTGACACTTCAGTTCAGTAAGAAGAGATTGAATCCATATCATTTCTACAGCCAGCTGAGCCATACTCATATACTCTGCTTCAGCACTAAATCTTGCCACTAGCTGCTGCTTCTTTGACCACCAGGAGATAACATTAGGGCCTAGGAAAACACAAGCCCCAGATGTTGACCTCCTATCATCAGGATCTGCTGCCCAGTCAGCATCACAGAAACCTAGCAAGGATAGCGCTTGTTGTCTAGAGGCAAGCTGAATAAGTAACCCATACTGAAGTGTACCACTGAGATACCTGAGAATTATTTTGACTGCCTTCCAATGTTCCTCCAATGGATTAGAGAGGAACTGACACATAACAGAGAAGGATAGTTCAGGTCTGGTTAAAGTGGCATATTGCAATGCCCCAACTAGACATGAGAAGTGTTGGATCTGCAACTGTGTCAGAACCATGTTTGGATAACTTGCTGCTAGAGACCATAGGAGTAGGCATAGAGTTAGCAGTGGACATATTTACTTTTGCAAGTAAATCACTCACATATTTGGCTTGAAATAGAACTAATGCCCCATTGGGTAAATGAGAGACCTCAAAGCTAAGAAATAGTCCAGCTGCCCTAAGTCCTTGAGAGCAAATTTAGTGTTGAGACTTTTGATAAGGGTGGCAACAAATGTTGGAGAATTTCCAGTGATGATTATGTCATCTACATACACCAGGACCAGAATTGACAGACCGTTTGTATGCAGAAAAAACAAACTAGGATCACATTTACTAAAAGCCCAAACTGCAGTAAGGAGCACTTAAGCCTATCAAACCAAGCCCTGGGAGCCTGTTTTAACCCGTATAATTCTTTATTAAGCCTGCACACAAGAGATTTATCAGAGGCTTCAAACCCAGGAGGTCGAACCATGTACACTTCCTCTTCAAGAATTCCATTTAAAAAAGCATAATTTATATCTATTGGTTGTATGAACCATCTCTGAGTAACAGCAAGAGTCAAAATTATCTTGACATGACAGGCTTTACTACTGAGGAAAAAGTCTCAGTAGAATCACTACCTGCTTTTTGATGAAACCCTTTGGCCACTAATCTTGCCTTGCATCTGTTAATGGAGCCATCAAGGTTTTCCTTCACACGAAATACCCATTTGCAACCAATGGGCTTTTTAGATGCAGAAGGAGGCATCAAAGTCCAAGTCTGATTTTTCAGCAGTGCCTGATATTCATCCTGCATAGCTTGAAACCAGTGAGGGGTAGCCAAGGCCTGTTTTAAAGTTGTAGGTTCCATATGAGTAAGAAGAAGGGTGGGTTGGATTCTGGGCTAAACAATACCATTCTTGGCACGAGTTTGCATGGGATGACTATTAAGAGGATGAAGAACAGGAGGCACGTGGACAAGACTGATGGTGGTACTGGGAGATGAAACAGAATTAGGTAGAGAGGAGGGAGAAATAGTGCTTGCTTCAGCCAAGTCAGAGAAAACAGAAAAGACGGGCTGAGGAGAATTAGATGGATTGGAGGGGAATAATGGATTAGGTACAGGAGAGTTAGAAGAGGCTGCAACCAATGAATTTGCAGGGGAAATGTCTACATTGGCAGTGTGACTAGGGGTAGATGGAGACTGATTCACAGTGGGTGAAGCAGCAGGAGTAACATGCTGCAGGGGAGTAGCATGAAGAGGTGGCAGGGTGGGAGAAGAGGCTGCTGATGGCTACCAAGATTGAGGGTTGAAGGAACTGGATGAAGAAGAAGAGGAATCAGAAGATGGAAAAAGTTCTAGATAGGGAAACCGAGACTCGTGAAAGAGAACATCTTTGGAGATATAAATCTGACCATTGGCAGCAAGGCATTTATATCCTTTGTGCATGGAAGAATAGCCCAAGAAAATGCACTCTTGGGACCTGAAATCAAGTTTGTGTGAATTGTATGGCCTGAGGAAAGGAAAATAGGCGCATACAAACACAAAAGAGAGGAATAATCAGGTGATTTTTGCATTAAGATGGTGTAAGGTGACTGGTTTGGAAGAGAGACACTAGGTAACTTATTTATGAGGTAGGCTGCTGTTACAAAAGCATGGTCCCAATACTTGAGAGGGAGTTTGGAGTAAGCAAGCAACGCCATACCAGTCTTAACAATATGGCGATGCTTCCTTTCCACAATACCATTTTGATGGTGAGTATAAGGACAGGTAAACCTATGAACAACACCGAAGGCAGAGAGATACTTGGTGAAAGGTTTGAATTCACTACCTCCATCACTTTGAACCTCTTTAATTTTATAATTAAATTGAAGTTCAACCATTGTTTTGAAATGAATAAATTGGGTGAGAGTATCAGATTTTAGCCTAAGGGGAAACACCCAAACAAATCTGAAAAAGGCATCAACACATGTGAGGAAATAGGAATAGCCACCAGAAGAGTGCGTCGGTGCAGGTCCCCACAAGTCACACACAATAAGTTCAAAGGGACAATGGTAAATAGTAGTGGATAGGGAGGATGGCAGTCTATGGGACTTGCCCATGCAACAAGCAGAACATAGATCATTAGGAGGTTTGTGAGGAACGGGTATATTGCATATTTTAAGAACTTCAGAAAGAGCATGGTGATGAGGGTGACCAAGCCTTGTGTTCCATAAAGTATATTTGTTATCAGATATAGAAAGGGAATGTGGCACATTATGAGAAGAGGTTGGCATATTAACTGTAGAAATATGAGCAATAGGCTGAAGTTTAAAACCAGAATCAATGATATTTTTATTAAGATGAGAAACAGGATTATAATGGGAGATACAGTTGCAAAGAGCGGCTGAATTACACTTAGAACTATGATAATTACAAGTACTATGACTACTAGCTTGTGACATAGACACAGCAGGATTAGCAAATCTGTAGAGACCATCAGCTCCAACAGTGCCACGAAGAAGAACTTCAGAAGAATCCTGCGATTATACAAGGAAAAACTGAGAATGAAACTCAAAGAAAACACGATTATCTTGTACGAATTTACTGACACTTATAAGGTTTTTAGTGATGTGAGGCACGAGAAGAAGATTGTGAAGCATAAGAGACGAATTAGGATGCTTAGATAAAGGAAAACTCATGGAACCTACAGAGTTAATGCACAAACCTCGGCCGTTCCCCATATACACCTGTTCAGCGCTATTCAGGGAAGAAACATCAGACAGATTTGAAGCCTCCGGCGTGATATGGTGAGATGCACCAGAATCAGGATACCACCACTGGTTACTAAAGTTAGGATTAGTTCCTGCAAGAAAAGCTTGTGGTGGATTTTGCCTAGGTGGTGTAGGACGAGGAGTAGCAGGATATCCATATGAAAAAGGATAGGTAGGAGCGCGTGGTGCCATCATGTAAGGATTGAAGGGAGCTCGTGGTTGCAGAAAGGAAACAGCACATGAATAGGAGTATCTATGATAGCATACAGAGGCATCATGTCCAGATTTTTGACATATCTGACATGAAACCTTCCCAAAGCGACCACCACCACGGTCGGAGCGTCCACCACCATGACTATATCAACCACCACGAGCGCCATAACCATGGTTTTCAGCATTTGCAATTACATGACTTGTTCCAGTGGGAAAATTAGGGCTAAGATCACCACCTGAAACTTCTATAGAAGACGATGCTGATGACGGCGAGGCTTGAGTGAGATTCACGGTGACAGGTTCAGTGAGAACAGCTTTACGATTCTTTTCAAGGCGCGATTCATGAGCAAGAAGACTCGACTCAAGTTCATCCAACGAACACAGATCTTCTTTGCTATTATCGCTGCTACAATCGAATCATACTCCTCAGGAAGTGCATCAAGAACAATTTCAATTAGGTTACGAAGAGGGACAGGATCTCCAATCGAAACCAAGGCTTCACTGATTTCACGAACACGAACCACAAATTCCTCAATCGTGCGTGAACCTTTCGTAAGATTGCGTAGTTCAGATTGAAGTTGCCTCGCCTTCGTCGTGAGTAAGGTGTTGAAGTAGCGATGAACTTCAGAACACACCTGCCAAGAATATGTGCAATCCACGAGTTTCGGAAGAAGAGAATTAGAGATCGTAGAGAGGAGCCAGGTGCAGATGAGCGCATCCTGTTGCTTATTGCCACGAATCACTCCATCTATATGTTGCTTCCATTGTTTGAAATTCTTCTCATCGAGTTTGACAGAGATGAGATGTGATAATTTCACTTGAGAGGAGGGAAACGCGCCCTCAGAATTGAAAGGAGACGCCATGGAAGCGCTAGATCAACAAAAGAGCTCTAGATACCATGTTAGAAGAAGGAAAAAGAAGAAGAAAGTGAAAGAATGTTGTTATTGTTATTATTAGGAAAGATATTACAATGAGATCTATATATATATAGACTAGCCTAACTAACTAGATGACAGCTAAGTTAGAAGATACAATCGAAATATAAGCTCATTTCTTAATACTGAAAGCTAGAATAAGCTATGTATCTCTAATATCACTCACTATTCTCATACTTCTGCTCTAGTCACCTATTAGCATATAATCACGGAGGCAACTTCTTAGAAATCAGAGCCATAGACTGAATCCTCGTGAATTTACAATCGTTAGGCTCAGTAATCTCACTGCCACTTTCCATTTTCTGATGCTACTATCTTGGATGGACAAGCTAAAACCAACAGAGGGGGGTGAGGAAAAATTATTAAAATAAATATATTTGAAGTGATTTAGTAGATGGAAAATGAAACGAAACAAAAACAATGGAGAAAGATCCCTCAGAATGCCAAGTATCACAACAAGGAGAGGGCATGGCATAAAAACCAAAACGCGTTCCTCAACTTTTAATTTTTCTATAAAGAAGGGAGCCTGCACTTTGATTTTAAACCATGTGAACCAATACTCCTCCTCCCTTCAGATTACTAAAATTTTCGTCACTGGGAAATATTTTTCTACCAAGAACAAACAGCGATGCTGCTCTCAAATCGGAGGAAATAGGAACCTTTTGTTTGAAGAAAAAAATGCAGCATTTTGAAACCCCGCCTCTACTAGCAGTTGTCTGTGGATCTGAAGCAGTGTTATCGATGGCAATGGTGCACCATGGAAGAAAACAAAAAAAGTTCCGCCATTTTAAGCCGCTATGAATCGTCGCGGTCCTGTCATCCTTCACAAATTGGCCTTGGCAATAGTAAAAAAATCTGCCATTGCGATCCGCAAGGCCAACATTTGACAACACGGATCTGAAGTGAGTTGCACTATGGAAATAGAAACTTAAAACCCTATAAATCAAAGAACTCCCTCACAGTCCAGTTTCCTTAATTCTCAAATAAATCACACCACACAGAGGAGGGCTCACATGCCTTCTACAGATTACTAAGTTAAACAACATGTGAAGTGAAATGCATTAATAATCACATTACATATGCTAACACACAATGCAATTCCTATACAACAGGGAACCGACATAAAACACACAGATTCAAGAATTTCACAAAAGTAAATTTTGAAAAACATGAAATTCACCTTAACAGTAGTTAAAACAAGATTGGCATGCTTCTCCTGAAACTCGTTGAGATCCTTTCGAACATTAGAGGCCGAAGTAGGCACATCAGAAGCCTCAAATTCAGATTCATCTGCATTCAGGACAAATAAAACAAATCATTTCTATCAACAAAATTTACAATACAAGGTTAATTTATGGTAACAATTCAATAAAATTGCAGGAAATGAACAGAGGATGATAAATTACCGGAATTGACAGGAAAGTGTTTGAAGGTTGTGGAAGTGAGGCCCTGGACAAAGGATCTGAGATCATCGGTGACGCCGAATCTCTGGAGGTCTTGTTCCTGAGGAGCAGAAGGAAGTGCGGCAGAAGTGGCAGTTGCGGTGGCGGTTGCCGCGGCGGCGGCAATTGCGGAGAATTGAGGAGGAATGGAAATGGTATCCGAGAACGACTTGATCTGGTCAGCCTGACGGAGAGCAGCGGTTTTGATCTCTTCTGCTTTCTTAGAAGCCTCGGCGGCGAGTTCCTTCGATTTCTTGGTGGTTTCGGAGACGAGATCGGCGATTCTGGCGGTGGCGGAGGAAGTGGTTAGAGATTGTGATTTCTTCGCCGCGTCTTCGGCGAATGTCTTTGCTCTCTTCCAGAAGTCTTCCATTTGGTAGCTCAGTGACAGAAGAAGAAGGGAGAGAGGTTGGTTGAAGATGAAAGGAGAAGAAACGATGGGACAGATTGAGACTTTTCTTCAAAAGGATACGACAACAACGTATTATAGCAGGGAGGTAGGAGCCAATATGTATGTATCTTTTCAATTTTATTCAATTTTTGGTTTCAATGTATATTTAAGATTCAAAAATAAGATGTCCATGTAGAAAGATTAACATTTGTTCACCAAGTTATCAAATGGGTCAAATATTGTAACGTTGAATATTTTAAATTGTTAAAAAAACTTAATGATTCAATTATTTCATAGGTGTAATTCTACGCAATGAGATTGATACTATTTATAGGAATATAATAAGTTATTGCGAGACAAATCATTTCATTATTCATAACATTCTCTTTTGGATGTTTGTTTTAGATATGCTTCGTTAAAACCTTATTAGAAAAAATTCAGTGGGAAAAAATCTAGTGAAAAGAAAAGAGTACAATATCATTTTTAAAATAAATTTATTTATCTTCGTCAGCTTAACGATTATTTCTTCGAGGATGAAGATCAGTCTTTTGTACTAGTTAATTAAAAATTCTACTTTAGAGTGACTTTGTTAAAAGATTTGCAAGATTGTCACATGAATGAATTTGTTGGATGTTTATATCACCGTTCTTCTGAAGATCATGAGTGAAAAAGAACTTTGGAGAGATATATTTTGTTTTGTCTCCTTTAATGTAACCATTTTTCAATTGAGTGATGCATGTAGTATTATCTTTATATATGGTTGTTGTATTTATTTTTCCTGAAGACAAACCACAAGTATTGTGTATGTGTTGGATTAAGGATCACAACCAAATGCATTATCGACTTGCCTCATGTAGTGTTAAAAGTTATGCATGAGTAGATGAAGTTGATGTTATTGTTTGTTTCCCTGGTCTCCATGAAATAGATGTACCACCACATGTAAACAAATAATTTGTTTGTGATCTACCATTGTGAGGATCTGACAAGTAACCTGCATCTGTATAACTTATTAATTCGAGTTGGATACTTTGGTATAAAACAGACTCGTGTATATTGTACCTCTAAGATAACGAAGTATATATTTGACTCTGTTCCAATGTCTTTGTGTAGGTGAAGAACTGTATCTGACTAATAGATTGACCACAAATGTTATATCAGGACATGTATAATTAGCAAGGTACATCAGTGCTTCAATCGCACTGATATATGGTACTTCAGGACCAAGCAATTTCTTCATCCTTTTCTCGAGGCCTGAAATGATCTTTCTCTATATCTAATGATCTAACAATCATTGGAGTAGACAACGGGTGACATTTGTCCATATAGAATTGTTTTAACACCTTTTCTATATAGCCTTCTTGATGTATAAATATTCTTTTATCCAAATTCTTAATTTGTAAACCTAGACAGAATTTTGTATCTCATATGTCCTTCATCTCAAACTCTTTCTTTAAGCAACTCATAACTTTTGGAAGCTCTTTAGGAGCTCCAATAATATTTATGTCATCAACATAGACAACTATTATTGCAAATTATTTTCCTGATCTTTTTATAAAAATACAAGGACAAATGGAGTTATTTATATATCCCTCTCTAAGCAAATATTCACTAAGACGGTTATACCACATGTGTCCATATTGTTTCAGTCCATATAGAGATTTGTTCATTTTATGGAGTAGTTTCTTCGAGATTCAGAATTATGTACGTTTGGTACATTGAACCCTTCAGGGAGTTTCATGTAAATTTTACTATCAAGTGAACCATACATATAAGTTGTTACGATATCCATCATGTGCAAATTAAATCCCTTATGTGCTACAAGGCTTATTAAATATCGAAAAGTGCTTGCATCCATTACAGGTGAGTATGTCTCATCAAAATCAATTTCAGGTCTTTGTGAAAATCCTTAAGCGATAAGTCGAGCTTTTTATCTCACAATTTCATTATTTTTATTTCGCTTTCGCACGAAAATCCATTTGTAACCAACTGGCTTCACACCTTGAGGTGTTTGGACTACAGGTCCAAAAACTTGTCTTTTGTATAGTGAGTTTAGTTCTGCTTCAATTGCATCTTTCCATTTTGGTCAATCCTCACTTTGTCTACAATTGTTAATAGGCGTTGGTTCATGATCCTCTTTGTCATTTATCACATCTAATGTTATATTGTACAAAAAAATATCATCAATGTCGACTTTGTGTCAATTTTATTGTATTCCATTTTGGACATAATTATTGAGATCTCTTTATTTTCATGAGTTTCAGGTACCTGATCAATCTCTTCTTGAGATGAAATGTTTATTATGTCTGGAAATTCTTTTAGATTTTCTATATCCTCACTTGGGTCATCTTTATTCTTAGCTCCCTTTCTTGTTCGAAGATTTTTATCTTTGGAATCGATTGGTCTGCCATGCTTCAGACGTGGTTGAGACTCATTGGGATGTCTAACAAAGATATCCATTTTTATTAGAGCATTTGCAGCTGATATATATAATTTAGTCACACCTTTTGGATTAGTGAATGCATTTGGTAGTTGGTTTGCTAAGCTTTACAAGTGAATTATCTTTTGAACTTCTAGTTCACATTGTTTCGTTCGAGGATCAAGATGAGATAATGATAATTCATTCCAACTGATATCTTTTCCAGCTTCTTATTCTCTCTCCCTAATGATGGAAAATTTGATTCATCAAAATGACAATCAGCAAAACGAGCAGTGAATAAATCTCCTATTGTTGGTTCAAGGTATTTTACAATAGATGGAGATTCATATCCAACATATATTCTCATCCTTATTTGAGAACCCATCTTAGTGTGTTGTGATAGATAAGTTGGCACGTGCATCTCACATCCAAAAATTCTTAGATGGGGAATATTAGATTATTTACCAAAAACGTATTCTAAAGGGGAAGAGGTGTGATAACTCATTAGCATGATAGGAATTAAAATGTTGCAGCATGCAAATTACATGTTACCAAGCAGAAATAGGGAGTTTGCATCTCATAATAAGCGGTCTTGCAATTAATTTTATACGTTTAATAAATGATTCTGCAAGTCCATTTTATGTATGAACATGTGCTATTGTATGTCCAGTGTCAATTCCAATAGACATATAATATTCATTAAATGCTTGAGATGAAAATTTTGCAGTATTATCAAGACGTATTTTCTTGACAAGATAATCAGGGAATTGAGTTCTTATTTGAATTAGTTGAGCTAACAATCTTGTAAATGCTTGGTTGCGAGTTGACAATAAACAAACATGTGACCATCTAGTTGATGTGTCAACTAAAACCATAAAATATTGAAATATTCCATGTAACACCCCAATTCTATCCAACAAATTATTATATAAATCAGAGTTATAAAATTTCGACAACCGAATCAGGATGCTACAATTAAAACTTAAAACAACGATATTCATTGCAGATACATAATACATTAAACTCTGATGAACCAACAACAACATAAATTAATCTTTTAAAACCAACAACTTTCATAACCACGCAGCGGAATCAAATATTCAACTTAAAGAACATAACATCTTTATCCAACTAAAACAACTTCAAATAACAGTTATTTAATGAACAACAACTTAAGATTTAATCAACCAAAATAATAACAATAAAATAGAAAGTGTTCATCCCCCCGAGTGTTATGTATCAGAGCAATGACACTGACTCGAACTACTGAAGGTAAACCACCTTCACTATGGATTACCTGCATGTTATCAACATATGGGTAACATTCAAACAGAAGGGTGAGATATTGAATATTATAATAGGACGCATGATAAATATTACATTAGAAATAGTTCATACAAGTTCACCACTTCTCAGTTTTTAACAACATAAGTGTTCTGTTGTACTGAATGTTTCTATATTCTTTTTTTGTTAGTGTTATATGAATATGCAGTTGTTGTAGTTAAGTGCAAAATTTGCAAAAATTTCAACATTAAAATGACCATTTTCTTGAGAAGCTTACTTGATAAGAATTGTTATATTTTTTTTTTTACATATTATTAGTAATTTGCGGGGGTTTTTAACCTCCGAAAACAAAACCCCTCCAATTTAAATAAAATATAATTTTTTAATATATATGTTGACTCACTAATTCAACCAATGTCGTGTTGTCAACATACGTGTCATGCCACGTAGACAAAGTTAACGTTTTTTCATAAAATTTGACGGAAACGACTAATTAGACTAACCAAATAGATTTTAAAAAACTAATTTGTAACATTTATTAGATAAGAGACTAAAGTGAAATCTGAAATTAAATTAAAGGATTTCGTTACTAATTAAGTCTTTAAAGCTTTGAAATATTGCACGTAGACTCATTTATTATTATTTAATTATTTGAGTGTTAAATATTGAAAACCAAAAAAAATTCATTGCATGAGAGTCGAACACACCACATTTGTGTTACTTTGTTTAACATATGCACCAAAATTTATATATTTAAAACTTGATGTTAAAATTGATTTATGCAACTAGTGGTACCTCCAGGCTGCACAAGATTAGATTTTCTTTAGCTTCATAGATTTGTATGAATTTATTCCATTGTTAAGTCACAACAAATAAGGCATACAAAGTATAAAATTGAATATTTCCTAGTTAAATACTTTAATTTCTAGTATTAGTGATGAGCTTTGGAGTTACACCATTGATTTAAAATATTTTATTGTGAAATCAAGTGAATAAAATGCATTAAAAGAAATTCATAATTAGGAACCAAAACCAAATTAATGCAGTAGCAAAAACCCAAAAATAGGAATCAAAACCAAAAAATGCATTAGTAGAAACCCATAATTAGGGATCTAATCCAAAAAATGTATATATTTCGGGACTAAAATAAAAAACACGCTAACTTACAAGGACAATAAAAAATAACCTAGAACAAGACATGAATGTATATATTAATGGCCATAATTTTTTTATCTCCAACCTTCATAGAAGCAACCTAGAATTAAGGTGCAGAGGAAGAAGA